ATATATATATATATATTGCGAGATTTAAGTTAAATTCATGATTAACTTTTGTTAATAGAATGCTACCAAGCATCGAGTTACGAATATTATTGGTCCCATGTTATATTTAAAAGTATGCTGTGGTAGTATGTTGATAAAGCAGCCTTTATGAAGGTCGGAAGTCCTGTTAGGGCACATGTTCGAATCCCCCGTATGTAGAATGTGATAATCGAATATTCACCACACCTAGTGATGGTCGGGGCTTATTTAATAGTATTTCAGTCATTTCTTATAAATAAAATATTAAAATTAATACAAAAATAAAATAAGAAAATGAATAATATGTTATTTCAAAAAATAAAATGTCCATAAAAAAAAAAATTTCAGCTCCGTCGAGCAAATGTCGACGAGAAGAAATAGGACCAAAAAATTAGAAATATAAATTTAACTTTTAAATCAAAAATAATTTTATCTTTTAATTTTACTTAAAAAATATATCATAAATATTTAAAAAATAATTGTAAAAGTTTTTAATTCACGAATTCAAAATAAATACCACCTGCTCGCAAAAACAGAAAATCCCTCCCTAAACCTCACTTCGCCTTCCCTCCTTGGTCTCGCGAAAGCTCTCGGACTCGTTGTCTCGCGGCCATCGTGACGTATCAGCCGGTGAATCAACGGTGACAGAGCAAAGTGGCGGCTTCTGGAATAGGAAGACGCGTCGGGACTCACGGATGTGTTCGTCTGCAGCTTTAGAAGGCCAATCGTCGAAGTTCTTGCTGAATAGGAGCGACTGGCATTGAGTTAGTATTTATTTCGTTTAAATTGTCGTAATTGTTTTTTTTTTTCTTACTCGAAGCTGTTTGTTTTATTTTCTTCTATGTGAATTTGTGTCGCGGGGGATTATATCTGTGAAGAAATGTTCAAGTCGGACTCATGCGTTATGTTAAAAGACTCTTATGATTTTAGAGTTGATAATTAAGATTGTAGAATTGTACATTAAAATGTGTGGACGCTGACCCAAGGAGATCAACAGCACAGAAAGGAACAAGATCATGAGGCCTAGTTATTGGAGCAAGTGAAGTCATACGAGCCAAGTTAGCAAGACCAAAGCAGACTGAACCACGAGACAGACCAAAGACAACCAAAAGATACAAGAACAAACCACTCAACTGGAAAAGAGATAAAAGGGTATCTGAGTCAACCACTACATGAGAGCTGATCAAAGGAAAGATTCGGTTTTCTATCATCTCCAACCATCTTAGGGATGCCCCAAAGGCTCCTCACTAAGGGTCAAGAATCAATAGTCGGGTCTAATCAACAAGCCGACAGATATCGACCAGGTTCAGTCAACCAAGCTGGTCTCAATCAGCCAAACTGATCATGCCGGCTTGAAGCCGACTAAGGAGAATCAGCCAAGTCAGAAAATAGTCGAGCGGTAAACTTTCACATGTAAATACCAGAAATACCTCAGTATGGACCCTTGTAAAACATGCCAAAAATATAATATCATAGTTATGTAACCTCTCCTCTATAAATAGGAGAATCATTGTATGAATAAGATGTGATTGATCGAGAAAGATTATTTTTCACCCTCTTTCTGTCTCTCTATTTGTCATTATTGACACTTTATTTTCTTAGTTTAATTCACGGACAACTTAGGTTTGTTTTCTCGGTTCTTTTAAAGGATCGGAGTCAACAGTTTGTCTATTTATGTGTCGCTGCATAATTCTCTTATTTGAATAAATCTGCTTCCCAAAACATATCAATGATTCGAAAAGGAAAGGAATCGAAAAGAATGATATATGACAACAAATAGACAAACAAATAAAAAGAAACAAATGAAAGACTTATATATGGGTAATTATCGCGTGATGGGTCGAGAGTATATGTCTGAATAGGATCAGTTAAAGTACCTCGAAATACAAAATAAATGAAGAGAATCCCTACATAAGACACCTGTAACAAGAGAATAAAAAAGAACATTTTTGTTCTGATGTCAAGAGCCTCTCAGAGAAACGTATTCTTCTGGTTAATTACATTTGGGGATACTCAACAATACTCTTCATGAAAGGATTTTCACTTATATTATCATGAATCTGGAGAATAGGTCATCAAATGATGGTTATTTCGTATGGAAACACCACTATGCTTTCAAAATTCTCGCTATGCCACAAGACAGTGAGTGAGTCTCACATATCCTAAATGATTAGCGGCTCATCAGCATTCAAAACCTATGAAATAACCAAAATGACCTCAATAAGGAGATCCATAAACGTCAAAGTTCATCGAGTCATCAGGGTAGAGGTTAAATTACCGTATCTCAAACGGGTAGTAGCTCATCCGTAATCAGGCCTTCAAGATGATATCAACGAAGTCAAAATAAGTTAAATGGCTCAAAGGAGCTCAAGAAAAGGAAGGGTAGAATAATCCTAAAAGGTAGAGGTAGCTGGATCAGGATACCAAGTTCCCGTCGTCTTAAGCTACTGAGACCTTAAGTCTACTTGGTTTTTACCTAAAACGTTCAAAGATTTCCGATTAGCAATTTGTGAATTACGTCGTCCACAAGGACCTCAGTAGCCTAAAGATCAAAGAAACAAAGCTCTATCTTATGACTATTAGGTAGAGCTCTAAGAGGTGTGACTTATACCCGTTGAAGTGACAAAGATTCCTCAGTAAAGAAAGGAAATAAGAGGTCCAACTACAAAGCTGAAAACACTTCCCAGAAATGACTTACTCCCTATATGGGTTAGGAAAGTCTCTAACATCCTACACATGCTAGACAACCACCTAAGTATAAAAACTTATGTTTGGTCAGTTGGGTTGAAGAAGTATATAGACTTCTCTTCGGGGTCGGCTACATGAATCCTTTTTTGAGTAGAATTTTTATTTGAACTGTAGATTTATTTTAAGAGAATTGTATATTAATTCTTCCTTATCATTATTTGTATATTTCTTTAGAATACAACAACAACAACAAAGCCTTAATCCCACTACGTGGGGTCGACTACATGAATCCTTTTTCTCCATTGCGTCTTATTTAGTGTCATATTTTCATTTAGTTCTATTAAATTAAGATCATTTTTTATACAATAAGCCCAAGTCTTCCTAGGTATACCTCTACCCTTCTTAACATAAGTTGAATCTAAAACATCTACTCTCCTAATCGGATCATGTTGACCTCACTTTTGGTTGAGGTCTAGAAAACTTTTTTAGTAGCCTAGGTCTAGCCATAGGACTTTCCTATTAACTAGTCTTAGAAAATTAGAAAAGGTACCCCCACCATTAGAAATTCAAAACTCTTCTTTTTACTCAACTTGAAATTTCACATAATGATCTTAACCTCTAGCATTTAGTAGAGAAGATCATTATAAGAGAATTCAAGAGGAG